GACTTAATATCTTAAAATAATGACTTAATATCTCAGAATAATGAGTTAATATCTCAAAATAATGAGTTAATATCTCAAAATAATGAGTTAATATCTCAAAATAATGACTCTGATCTCATAAAATTACATAGTATCTCATGAAATTACTTAATATCTCAAAATAATGAGTTAATATCTCAGAATAATGAGTTAATATCTCAAAACATTGATTAAGTATCTAAAAAAATGACTGAGTATCTCAAAATAATGACTTAATATCTCAAAAAATGATTTAATATCTCAAAAAATGATTTAATATCTCAAAAATAATTACTTAATATCTCAAAAAAGGATTTAATATCTCAAAATAATGACTTAGTATCTCAAAATAATCAGAATCAGAAATAATACAGTTGCTCAGGGTGCTCACACAATGTTGAAGAATAGAAATAATTATTATATTACAAAATCTAACACAATATATGTATATAGAATCGAAAATGTATATATAGATGTATAAATATAAGTAAAATATTTAAATTTAAAAAGATATATAATAAGAGCCTAAATATGTACATAATAATACAATATATGACGATAATAATGACAACGTTGCTCATTATAATGACATAATAACAGAATTTTGATATAATGATAAAACCATAGTATTATGCATTTTGATACCTGTTTACAAAAAAATTACTTCACAGGTCACACATTTTGAAAGTTGTTACCACAAATCGTTACCTGGTGTTTCTGACAATTTTAGCTGCTCTCTTTACATGAGCCTCCTGCACAGTACAAGTGCTTTTAATTGAGGTATCTCATTCAGGTGGGAAATAACGACCAAAATGGACTGTTGAGTGTGCTTAACATAAAGCTGGTATCCGTATAAACATGCTCAAGAATAATGGTAATTCTGTCAAGTGTAAAAACAACTCGGCTGTCAAAAAGTTTGATAAAATGAGTGCCTTTATTTATAAGCACCTTTGTAGTTGTAATGGATAATTCCTCCCACCCACCACTTAAAGCTCACGACTTAAATCTGTGACAGTAAAAAACACTCAAAAATGTTAAACCTTAGTAAACTACGCAGTGTCATTCTTATAAAAAAGGGCAAATATAAAATGTATATGTCATATTTAACTTTAAGATATACACTTGTTTGTTATATCAACTCTGAATCCCCAAATATTTTTGATAGAATCCCAAACAGGGTTGAAAAAACGCTCAGAGGAACATATAAAGTTGACCTTTTAGAGTTTGTTTTGTGGCCCCCTGCTGGCTGAGGAGCAACCCTAAGGCCTTGGGGCAGGAAAAAAAACAATCTTTAAAGTCTTGAAGTGTAAGACTAACGTGCCATAGATGTTGTTTGGAACTACTAAACTTATTGCATTTAAATCTTCTCATGCGTTGTCCTCTTCACTAAAGATCTCTCCCACTGAAATTTGATATTAGGGTAGTCCTTTTTAAACGGTTCCCAATTCAGGATTCCATCTATTGTGTGTGCATAAATAGGCCGTATTTCCTCCTTCCTCTTGTTCCCCAAGGAGGAAAAACGAGGTTATTTTAGCTCCACAGAGATTTAGAAAACTAGAAAATCTGGTTTCATGAAAACCAGAAAGCCTGGTTAAATGATCACCTCTGTGATGTGTCATTAAGGAGGCCCATGTTTGTATTGGCTGACTTTGTGAAGACTGATTTTGTAACTCCTTAAATAATACATTATACAATTTATTCTGTGGGAGTTTTTGAGCCACAAGATTGTAAGAAAAAAATGAACAAACATGGGATTTTCTTTTACTTTGACATCCTTAAATCCTGAATTTTCATAAAAATGAAAAAAAAACTGCTAACATGTAGTTGTTTTTTCAAAACATAGACATGCATCTTGTGCTGCTTTATTCCAGTTTCAACATATAAATACACCACATATAGAACATATCCAATGGCAACCTATTCTTAGTCTAGCTAGTTAGTTACATCTACTGTACACTGAGTCATTCAAACACAATATAAACTACAATGTATGACAAAGGAAACCCACAAAACAATTCATTTACACACACAACAAAAAGAAAGATTCACTTAAGCTCCAAGGTTATACAGCTACAACCAAAGTCATGTACTCGATGTTGTTTCAGGGAATTTGGGGGTTCTAATGTCCAAAGAAGGAGTTTATAGTCTACAATTTGATGTTTTTAAGCTTAATTCAGATTGTCAAAATCCTAAAATTAGACTGTGCTCAGCTAGAAACATACTGAATTAGATTCCTGGCATTGTGGGAAAGGCCTATTAACCCTGAGGCAAAAGAGATATTTTTTCTTTTTTTGCAGGTAGATTATATAGAAAATGTGTGGAAAGAAAATGTTAAACTTCTCTTAGTGGCTAGTCAATCTTTTTAGGGTGGGTGGAGGTGCACTGAACTCCTGACATCAGTATTTCTAAAATCCAGACTATAAACTAGGATCTATATAGCTAAATTCTCTTTTTTGACAACAAAAAAAATCATAAATGCCAAATTGCTGAGGCTTCCCTTTGGTATCATAATATAATATTTGTCCACCAATGTTTGTAAGAAAACTAGTGAATGCATTTCCAACTAAAACTCCTAAATCTAGACCATATGGTGTCTTGTTTAGTCATAAACAGTGTTGTATGTACAGAGATAAAACATATCAGAACAGATTTCCAAACAACATGTACAGTTGTATGTAAAAGGTTGGGCACCCCTTGACAAATAACATATTTTTATATGTTACTTAGTAACCCTTAGTTACTTTGTTAGTTTCCTGTGCCACTGTCTGCAACATACACCCAAAGCATGATGGACAGTTGGTAAGGTGTTCCTTTCATGAATTGCTCCTTTTTTCTCAGGACATACCTTTGCTGATTGTTGCCAAATAATTCTATTTTAACTTTATCAGTCCACAGCACTTGTTTCTAAAAACCCATCAGGGTTCTGTAGATGTTCTGTTGCATACTTCTGATGCTGGATTTTATGATGTGGACGCAGGGAAGGTTTTCTTCTTCTGACTCTTCCATGCTTCTGCTGCACAAGCAGCTCTGTACAGTGGAACTCCTGAGTCTGCTAAATCTACCTGCATGTTTTTTTGCATGCACATTCTGACCAGCATGCAATCAGTTCTCTCCAAGTGTTTTCTTGGTCACCTCCACTGTTCCCCCTAATCGCCATCACTTAATTGTATTTCACACTGTGGGAACTGCAAATGCTTTGCTATGTTCATCTGCATTGTGGACATCAATGGGCATTCATAACTTTCATTTTCAGAGTCTTACACAGCGGCTTAGAGGGACCCATGGTTGCCAAGTGTTCACACAAGGTTTGAAGAGTCTTTTCAGAGCTTTGAAACTGGCACCAGCTGATGCTTCCTGATCACAATTGTTCACATGCTTCAAGGAGATGATGAAGGCCTGTGACCTTGTAAAAAGAATCTGAGACTGCAGAACTCACAGGATAAACTTTTATCAGAATATGTTTTTATTTTTGTTCAGTTTTTGAAAGAAAATGTAACTTTGCAAGAATGTTTGCTAAAAAATATTGTGTTTCATGTGCCAAACGCTAGAGAGAATGTGTTTACCTCTTTTCAATTGACATAACACATACAACTGTAATTCTTGTTATGAGCTCCATATGCTTCTTGTTTCCTCACATGGTGGCTTTCCTTTAGTACTGTCTTTACACGTGCATGTTTTGTACACTAGATGGCGTAGTCCACCAATATTATAGAATCCTGCAATCTGACAGCATTTAGTTGCTGTGGTGGGCTCCTCTTATAGCCAAAATTCAGCACCAAGGATAGCAACATATGGATTCCTGCCCCTGATTGGTTGCTTTGATGGTAGAGGATATCAACTGTTTTAAATAATTTGGTTCATTCACATTCTGACATTTTTGCACACACTTCTGACATTATCGTGTGAGAGTGACTCAGGCAAAGAGTCGATTTAACATGCAAAGTGTCTGTGCAGTAAAATACCAGCCTGCTGTTTATGTCTGTTTTCCTACTTCCATACTTAATTAACATAGGCCAATATAAAATGGGTCACTCAAGACACAATAAGAGAGTGACAGATGCACAGCAGGGATATGTACACTGCTTCACTCTTCATTATCCTCACTCACAAGTTTGACTAAATTGAAATTTTCATGCAATCATGAATATATGAACGAAGCTGCCAGTGAAAATGCACTCTGGAGGGTAAATAAAATAGGGCAATATCAATAATGCACAAGTAATGGGATCTGTTTCAGAGAGCGTGACTCCCATTGTTTCAGATTGTCATATTTATAAACAACAAGTTAAGAGACTGAGCTTTTGTGTCCGATGTGAAAAAGTATTGGGGCCAACATCCCTGTTTGACTCCTGAATTTAGGTCTCTAGTATCTGGGACATATATCCATAATTAGCAGTTATGTTTTACTTCTTCCTTCACTTTCCCTGAGGCACAATTGCCACATGAGGTAAACTACCTTCCTGCCTTTTATGTTGCAACTCACTTGATCAGCAAAATGCATAAATGCTGGTATAATAAAACAGTGTGGGAGTTTACACAAAGACTGCTCCGAGTTTGAATAAAAACATGAACAGGACATACCTGGATAGAGCATGAATTTGGACAAAAGCTACTGTGTACAGGTACCTGGCGGCAGGATGTAGAACAGTTCCCTAGATGCACAGCAAGGACACTAAAAAAGTAAAACTACAGGACAGCAAAGGACAGATTGGTGTGTAAAAATAACCTGTGTAATACACAATATGTCAGTGAACATAAAGGACAAGGTTTCACAAGACAATGCACTGAATCATATCACATAATTGCATTAAAAGCATACAATTGCTGCCAGAATGAAGATTGCTTTGGCACTGATTCACATTGTATAATGAGGATTTCTAGTGAGAAATGAAACAAATGTATTTAAATAGGAAACATCTTGGAAATGAAGAGAATAAATCCCCTTGAAATTGATCCCCTCATAAATTTAAGGGACGCTTCTTCATTGACGCACAAAAAATTATAAAGCCTTTAATGACGAGGCAATATGATTAAAGCCAAGACAGATGAACTGACCGACAAACTAACCCCATACCAATCTTCTTCAGTAGCAAAAATCAATAATCAGAACATATAAAAGTGTCAAAGTACTAATTAAAGTAATTTGGAAGTTCGCCATACAGAGCCATCTGACTGCACTGCAATCTAACTAGTTCAATTTTGGTTCTTGTACTTGATTATTTCTAAATTATGCCACCTAATACTTGGACTTTACTGCAGTTCAGAGGAAAATGTTATTGTTTTTACTCCACTGCATTTATCAGCTGCCACAATATTGTACTGTAGCTTGCACATACAAAACCTATGATGACCTTATACCTTATTATGCATTGTTATTAAAACCAACCACAAAACCACCACATGAAGCAATTAAAATTAAACTCATAGACCAGGCACAACATTAAACAAATGCACACACAAATTCATAAGTAATAATATAAAAGTATTAACACTATCAGGGCCCATACAGTTTTTATATAATACTTCTATTGTTTTATTAAATAAA